CTCCTCACACAAACATTTTTCTTGGATGGTATTGTTATTCCCCATGAGAAATCCCATGGCAAGCTCTGGGGTTGTATATAATATTCAGTTGTTTTACTATCTACTGGGGTTTTTCCCCCTCCCGTTATTTTTAATAATAAGATACTCCATAAACTTCATGAGAAAAATCACTAGAACAATTTAAAAAAAAACAAAAAACCATTGCATGCTATAAACAAATAAGTATGTCTTATGAAATATTGACGTAGAAAAATATGAAACAAAATGTTCATCTTCATGATGCGATGTTTTGTGTGTGTGTGTGTGTGTTGCAAATACAGCAAGATATGAAAAATGCTTAAATCACTTCCCCCATTTTCAGGCCAATGGAGTTTGAATCATGGCTGACTAAGGGCTTCCGTTTAGCTAATTCTAAAACGTAACCACAGACTGCTGGGATTTAAACCAAAATGTTCTTTATGGACTTTAGAAAATGAAGGATCAGTGTTAGATTTGGTCAGGAGTCTCTGTAGCCCAGAATATTTTTGCCCAGTTCAATAAAATTATGGAAGAGGGATTGTTGAAGTTCACACTTAAACAATCTTGTCTAGGGCTGTGTTCACAGGATGTGTTGAAACACAAGCTCATCAACTGTTATTTTGCATAATATGTTCAACTAACCAGCCCATGTTGCTAATTTACGGTACAGCCGTTAAGTAGAGGAGACACAATGTGTTTGTGTGTGTGGGGGGGGGGTGTCCATCCTGTGGCAACTTTTGTGCATTGTAAGGGACAGAGGAAAGGTGGGCAAGTGATAAAATACCCCTGAAAAGGTTTGGAGGTGACGCCATAAGGAGAGGCACATTCCTCCATAAATAGATTAATCATTTGGCATTAAAAAAAATACCAAAAGTACACAAAGGTCACTGGACTTTGATGTGCAAAGAACAGAACATTTTTCCACAAGCTAGAGTGAATACATACACACAAGCGCGCGCACACACACACAGAGAGAGAAAGAGAGAGGAAGAGAGAGGAAGGGAGAGAGAGAGGCAGAGAGAAAGAGAGAGAAAGAGAGAGGAAGAGAGAGGAAGGGAGAGAGAGAGGCAGAGAGAAAGAGAGAGAAAGAGAGAGGGAGAGAGGGAGGGAGAGACGGAAAGAAAAAGAGAGAGAGACAGAGAGAGAGAAAGAGAGAGAGGGAGGAAGGGAGGGATGGAGAGAGACAAGGAGAGAGAAAGAGAGAGAAAAAGAGAGACAGAGAGGGGGGAGAGAGAGACAGGGAGAGAAGAGAGAGGCAGGCAGAGAGGGGGGAGAGAGAGAGAGAGAAGGAGAGAGAGAAAGAGAGACACATACAGAGAAAGAGACAGAGAGAGAGGGACAGGGAGAGAGAGAGAAAAAGAGAGAGGTAGAGAGAGGGGGGAGGGAGGGAGGGAGAGACAAGGAGAGAGAGAGAAAAAGAGAGAGAAAGAGAGAGAGAAAGACACCCACACACAAAGAGAAACTAAAATCCAATAAGTGGGGGGGGGAGTAAAAAGAAGGCAAAGCGCAAGCCAAAAGTGCAAAAACAACAATAACAACCCAGAAATAAGGAAAACGAAAATAGAAAATAGATTCAAAGACTTAAAAACTCCCTTTATTTCTACCCTGTAATCTCTTAATTCAGGCAGGATAAAGTCGGGGCAATTGGATGGAGCTGAGTATTTACTGGCTGGATGCCCTGCCTGACACCACCTGGAGTTCACAGCAGATGTTTCTCTCTCTCTCTCTCTTTGTGCCCTAGGAGAGAACACTGCTTTCAAAGGATCGAATTCTCAACCTTCTGAGTGAGAGTCTTCACCACTTAGGCCACGATGCTGCTCAGATTCAAAGACTCCAAAAGATTCTGATATTCTTCACTTCGGATATTCTTCACAAAACACAAGGGTGTTCCGTTTATAGATACAAACTTTGCATTAAAAAGTTTAAAAAGGAAATAAAAACTAATGCAAACTAATCAAAAGTATGGGGGGAGAAAAAAAGAAAAAAGAAATAAATAAAGAAGCTAATTAAAAATGCAAAAAAATGTGATAGAAAAATAGAAAAGAAAGGGGGAAAAATATAGAGAAATGCCGAGAAAAATCTTCACAAATTTTCTTTTTTCTGCACATATCTGCCTTCATGTATAAATTATTCCTGGCCTCCGGACACGTCAAGAGGCTGAGTCAGAGGCTTCTTTGCCACGCCTGATTTAGAATTTAGAAAAGGCTCACCTCTTCTCAAGAAAAGGGTGGGCGAGAAGGATGCCGTTATTTGTTTAAAACATTTATTTATTTAAAACTCAAAATACATGGCTATGGAGGCTGTACAACATCACGGAACAAAATAAAAATATAAAATAAAAAACAAAATATCAAATTTAAAAAAAAAAACAAATAAAAATAATGAAAAAAGAAAACGGCCTAGCCCTAAAGCAGGGTTAGGCAACCTTGGCTCTTTTCTGACTCGTGGGCTTAGCTGGCTCAGGAATTCTGGGAGTTGAAATCCACGAGTCAGAAAAGAGCCAAGGTTGCCTAACCCTGTCCTAAAGCATTAAAAAGTGTGCAGGGCAGGTAAGATCCTCCACCTCAGGTAAGGAGGGAGATCCTGCACTTTGCACATGCTCTATAGAACTCTGGGGCTGCTGGCCATGATTGTTGTATGCAGTTTTCGGCATACTAAGACAGTGTTTCTCAGGATAGGTGAGAACGTCAACTCCCAGAATTCCCCAGCCAACACCTCCAGAATCCTAGGCAGGTATTTTTCCACCTGAGGACAGAGCCAACCCTTCCTCTTTCTTTTCTAATGCACAAAAATTACCAAAGGGGACACACACACACACACACACAAAATTGTGCTCCCTCTACTTATGGATCAACCATAAAATTAGCAACATGAGCTGGTTAGTTGAGTGTTGTGCACTCTGCAAAAAAGTGTTTGATGAGTTTGTAGGTCAACGTATCATGTGAACATAGCCTTAGACAAGACCACAAGGGTGAACTTTGACAAGCACTTTCCCATAATTTCCTTCAAGTGGACAGCAACATTGAGGGGCTGTAGGGAACCCTGCCCAAATCCAACACTAATCCTTCATTTAATACAGCCCCCCCCCAATCTTTTGGGGCACCAAGGACCAGTTCCATGGAGAGAGGTTTTTCCAAGAACTGGAAAAACATGGTTTCGCCTGGTTTTGTGTGCTGCTTGCATCCCATGGATGGGGCTTCATTTGTTCGTGACCTGGTTTCTGGCATATCGTGGACCAGTGCTGGTCCCTGGAGGGGGGTTGGGGACCCTTGCTTTAATATCCTTTTAAAAAAAGCAATTGTGATCTTGAAACTGACCTGAAATGTACAGGTAATACTTTAGACCACAATCGGCTCCTTTGATTCCCCCCATTCATGATGTCTGATGCAAGTATTTAAGGCGTGGAACTTGCATTGTGCTGTTATGAGAGCCAGCTTGGTCTCTAATGCAAGGATATCCAAAACTTGGCAACTTTTAAGACTTGTGGACTTCAACTCCCAGAATTCCCCAGCCAGGAGTTGAAGCCCACAAGTCTTAAAGTTGCCATGTTTGGAAAGACATGGTGTAGTGGTCTCCCCTAGGCTAGACACCTGAAGGCTGTGAGTTCTAATCCCCTTTTAGCCTATGGAGATTCTCAATCATCCAGGTCAGAGGTCCCCAACCTTTTGGGCACCAGGGACCGGTTCCGTGGAGAGAGATTTTTCCGCAGACTGGAAGGTGCATAGTTTTGTGTGCTGCCTGCATCCCGCGGGTGGGGCTTTGCTTGTTTGTGCAGCCCAGCATGCTGTGGCCCGGTACTGATCCACGGACCAGGGGTTGCAGATCCCTGATCCAGGTCATACAGTTATTCCAAAGGTGCTTTTTCACAAAAATCCCCAGAGTCCTAGTGGACAATCACTTAAATATGAGCCAGCAGTGTGCTGCAGCTGCCAAAAAAGCCAACACAGTGTTACGCTGCATTAACAGAGGGATAGAATCAAGATCACATGAAATGTTAATACCACTTTACAAGGACTTGGTAAGGCCACACTTGGAATACTGCATCCAGTTTTGGTCACCGCAATGTAAAAAAGACATTGAGACTCTAGAAAGAGTACAAAGAAGAGCAACAAAGATGATCAGGGGACTGGAGGCTAAAACAAATAAGGAACAGTTGCTGGAATTGGGTATGTCTAGTTTAACGGAGAGAAGGACTAGGGGGGACAGGATAGCAGTGTTCTAATATGTCAGGGGCTGCCCCAAAGAAGAGGGAGTCAAGCTATTCTCCAAAGCGCCTGAAGGCAGGACAAGAAGCAACGGGTGGAAACTAATCAAGGAGAGAAGCAACCTAGAACTAAGGAGAAACTTCCTGACAGTTAGTACAATTAACCAGGGGAACAACTTGCTTCCAGAAGCGGTGAATGCGCCAACACTGGAAGTCTTTAAGAAGAGACTGGACAGCCATTTGTCCGAAATGGTATAAGGTTACCTGCCTGAGCAGGGGTTGGACTTGATAACCTCCAAGGTCCCTTCTAACTTTATATTATTATTATTATTATTATTATTAATAATAATAATAATCATCATCATCATCATCATCATCATCATCATCATCTCCTTTTAGGCACGAAAGCTTACCTGGTGACTTTGGGCCAATTACTCTCTCAGCCCAACCTATCTGACAGTGTTGTTGTCGTTGTGGGGGAAAACAGGAGGAAGAATGAATATCAGTTACCATCTGCCACCTCGACTTATTGCTAACCACAATAAAGGCAAGGAACAAACAAGCAAAGTGACGCGCGTTTCATCATCCTGAAGGAAACCCCAACAGCCTTGTATTCTTAACGTCCGCAGTTCAAAAACACTTTAAAACAAACCGAGGGCGAAAAAAAAAAAAAAAAGTAGTTGGCACCTGCCTTAAAGTTGCCAAGGACGAGAAAACCCCGCCCTGAGGACTAGCCGCTTCTGCAAGCAAGGACGTTTCCAAGGGGGGGGGGAAGCTGATGTGGCCGCGATGCGAACTTTTCATCACTTCCCTTCCTGTCTCCTTCATTCCGCCGCTGCTGCGTCACTCTCCGAAACTTGTCTTAAAAAAAAAAGAAACGAAAAAAGAGGGATGTGATGCTCGGGATGGGGCCGGGCCAGCTGGAGGAGGGGGGTGGATTTCAAACATAAGCAGAGCGCGAGAAGGAAGGAACCGCAGTGTCTTTTTTACCCTTCCCCTCTGGGCTGCAAGAATTGCTCCCAGGACCCCCCCCCCCCACCGCTTCGCTTTGCGGATTAACCAGCCTGATCCGACCTACGTCGTTCCGGATCATCTTCTGCATCCCGAACCGATGAAGCGCTTTTGGACCGGCGTTTTGTTCTCCTTGGTGGTGACAGAAGGTAAAAAGCAAAAAAAAAAAAAAAAAAGGAAGGAAGAAAATGAAAAAGAGGAAGGGGGGGCGGGGGGAGGCGAACCCTTCTGTGTATTTATTGTCTTTTGTGAAGAGGCTGGAAATGAAAGCCGGATCTGCCCCGAATGAGTTTCGCTCCGGAGCTTTCAACATTTTAACTTTTTTTTTTATGATCTGGGGGAGGGGGGGGGAAGAAATCGATCCGGCTGATTCCAGAGCAGGTTCGGAGGCAGGGCAGAAAGAAGCAGAATTGTAGTTTCCCCCCCCCCTCCATCCTTGTCGCTTTATTCTCAATGGGAAGTAGTTCCTAATTGATTAACGTTAGGATTTGGACTGCAGAAATGCAGATGGCCGCTAGAGAGCAGCGCAGAGTTGGCACTTTTGTGTGCCTCGTTGACTGCTCCCCCTAGTGGCCGTTGAGATTATGGCAGGGGAAAGAAAGGTTTTGGTTTTTTTCTCATCTTGAGGGCCGAGAGGTCTTCGTCAAGAGGCAGGTATTCGATAGAAGAAAAATTAACCAGCAAGACTCTAACCCTGCAGTCTTAGGCTGCTGTAAGATGCCTGGTTTATTTATTTATTTTCTTTATTTATGAGACTTATATACCTCTTTAAGTGCAAGCACTCTCTAAGCGGTGTACACCAGTAAGCAATGTATATATATATTTACATTGCCCCCAACAATCTGGGTCCTCATTTTACCTACCTCGGAAGGATGGAAGGCTGAGTCAACCATTTATTTTATTTTATTTTATTTATTTATTTTTAAAAATTAAATGTATATTTAATGAAACAATGAACAACTCTACAGCGATCAAGCACAGATCGGTTTGTTTTTTTAGGACGATGCAAAAGGCAACAATTAGCAGCTAAAAATAATTGATCGCTCACTTCACCCCTTTTCCCATATATAGGTGGCTAGAAAATTTGAAACCTCGGCAACTTAAAGGGATGTGGACTTCCCCAGCAAGCATGGCTGAGAGGAAAAAAAAAAAAAACAAAACTCTTGATCTAATGCCTTTCCAAAAATGGAAAATATTTATGAATTTCGATCTGCCTGAGTCTTTTTCAGAAAGTCCCAAATATTAGGGCTGCACTTAGTAAATTGTGGATAATGGCCTCATGCAGCGATGTAAAAAAAATGGATCCCAGCCTCCTGAATTCTTCTTGTAGCTCTAGAGACCTGCAAAGTGGTAGGGCCAAATATTTTTGCCGTTGTATTTTCGTTTTGTATGATTTTATTTTACCTGGTTGTGGGCATTAAGAGACAAGGCTTATCACCCCTGAATTGTATCTGAAGAGGGATGAGAGGGAAGAAAGGAGAGGAGAGAGAAAAGAGTGAAGGAGGGGAGAAGGAAGTAGGAAGGTTGGAGGAGAAGAGGAGAAGTGGGGAGAAAGGGGAGGAGAGTGGTGAAGGAGAGGAGAGGAAGAAGAGGGAAGTAGGGAAGAGAAGAAAGGGAGATAGAAGGTAGAGAAGAAGGAATGTGGATACAGTGAAAGGGGAAATGGGCGAGCAACACCAAAAGTCATGTGTATGTATTTATTTCATTTTATTAAAAGTATCTTATATATGAGTGGTTCTCAACCTTTTTAATGCTGTGACCCCCAACCGGTCGTAAGTTGAAGACTACTCAACCGGTCGTAAGTCAAGGACTACTCAACTGGTGCAGCACCGTTTGCAGAATGGGACTTTTGGTGGGCTCAGCAGGGCAGAGACAGCCTGGACAATTCCTATTGGCTTTTGAAAGCCAATAGAATTAGACTCTATTCAAGAGAGTCTATTCTATTGGCTTTCAAAAGCCAATAGAATAAAAGGGAGTAGCACAGCTAAGGAAAAGGGGGAAAAAATGGCGGACTGCATTGTTTGGCGACCCCCGTGAAATGGTCGTTCGACCCCAAATGGGGTCCCGACCCACAGGTTGAGAACCATTGTTATATATGAATGTAAAAAGAATGTATGTTAACATCTGATAAATATCACAGTACATGTATGGGGGAGAATTTGGAAAAATAAAAAATTATTATTAAAAAAAAAAAAGAGACCAGGCTTATCAGCCGCAAACTGGCATGTCTTCAAGATCACAAAACTTGCATCATAGAATCACAATGCAAAAATCCACTCCTGAAATACTTACGTGAGACATTACGAAAAGGAAATAAAGGGAGCTGAACTGGTGTGATATTGTGATGCCTGTTTCATTGTTGGCTGATCTCCTTTCTCATAGTTGCCCACTTAAGGGATAAAAAGGTGTCTTAATCTTTTTAAAGCACCCATTTCATCCATAAACCCAGATAAAGATGGCTCAATGGTAGCAACTGTGAGACGGATCTTGGAGTCCTAGTGGACAATCATTTGACTATGAGCCAGCTGTGTGCTGCAGCTGCCAAAAAAGCCAACACTGTTCTAGGCTGCATTAATAGAGGGATAGAATCAAGATCACGTGAAGTGTTAATACCACTTTACAAGGCCTTGGTAAGGCCACACTTGGAATACTGCATCCAGCTTTGGTCACCATGATGTAAAAAAGAGGTTGAGACTCTAGAAAAAGTGTAGAGAAGAGCAACAAAGATGGTCAGGGGACTGGAGGCTAAAACACATAAGGAATGACTGCTGGAATTGGATATGTCTAGTTTAACGAAGAGAAGGACAAGCGGGGACATGATAACAGTGTTCCAATATCTCAGGGGCTGCCCCAAAGAAGAGGGAGTCAAGCTATTTTCCCAAGGCACCCGAAGGCAGGACAAGAAGCAATAGATGGAAACTAATCAAGGAGAGAAGCAACCTAGCATTAGGGAGAAATTTCCTAACAGTTAGAACAATTAACCAGGGGAACAAATTGCCTCCAGAAGTTGTGAATGCTTTAACACTGGACATTTTTAAAGAAGAGACTGGACAGCCATTTGTCCAAAATAGTATAGGTTTTCCTGCCTGAGCAGGGGGTTGGGCTAGATGACCTCCAAAGTCCCTTCCAACTCTGTGATTCTGTTACTCTTCTAACAGTTGTTGCCCTCCAGTGCTACTCATGTAGTGGAAACAATGACTGCCGGGAAACGGAAACATGTAAAGAGCACCAGAAGATGTGCAAGACCACCGTCATGACCATAATCAATCGTAAGTTTTTGGGAGGGGGAGAAGGGGGGTCATGATAGGGAAAAGAGGGTGGGAGAGAAAGAGTGAATGACCCATGGCTGATCCAGGCTGGATAGAAAAATGGAATAACAGAGTTATTTATTTATGCTGATTTATTGTTCTGCTTTGTGCAAAACTAACAGGATGCAACATACTCAGAAAAACCTGGACCTCTTCTATCTAAAATTAGAAATATATATTATACTCACATGTTCCAGATATATCAATTATATTAGCTATATGAGGGATGCTGAACCATTCAGAGCTATGTGGTCAACTTTCCTGACTTGAACACAATTATTATTAAGGATAACCTGAGTTAAAGATAATCATCTCTTAATTTAAGGACAACTAACAGGTCACAAAGTATTATTTCAAGATCGGAAAGTTTTGCATACTCCTTTTACACGTGCGTGTGCACATGTGCACACACACACACACACACACACATTTGTTTCTTTAAAAAAATAGGGCTCTGACACAAGGGCATAAATACCGCAGTATCAGATGTTTCAGAGCATTCCTCTGTCTGGTAATTTTTCATAGAACAATGAGAAACATTCTTATAGCAATGGTAAATTTAGGTAACACTCACTTCTCCACTGTTGTGTGAAGCTCCACGAAGTTATCACGGAGTGTGGCTGCTTGACGCCATAGCAGGAGAATCCCACTGTGTGCATTGCTGAGAGAAGAATCGTAGCTCTGGAAAGAACAATGCAAAAAAAAAAAGAAAAGAAAAGACTGGCACACAGTAGATACCATTACTTTTAATGTTTTATTGATGGAGACTAGCAAAAGGGGTTACCCACACTACAAATAATTACTGCTTTAAAGCAGTGGAGGGTCTCCAGCACGGGTACCCCACTGGCTAGGGGGTATGAGATCATCAACACATTTTGCCACCAGTAGCATCTCCTCCCCCCGCCCCAAGACATTCTCATAGCAATATTTAAGAAGGTTGTGAATTTTACGTTCTCAAGTGAAAGATAGGAAGAATCCACATTAAAAATGGGAAGCCAATTTTGTTATGTATGAGCTGGCAAGCCTGTCATGCAGTGGTGGGATTCAGCCAGTTTGCACCACTTCGGCAGAACTAGTAGCTAATTTTTTGTTGCCTGGGCCAGGAATGGACTTCTGGAAGTGACATCCACACAGAGAACCGGTTGTTGACCTATTTCAGGGGTAGACAACCTTGGCTCTTTTATGACTCGTGGACTTCAACTCCCAGAATTCCTGAGCCAGCCATGCTGAGGGGAAAGGGAGAGGTTGCCATGCTGAGCCATACTGGCTCAGGAATTCTGGAAGTTGAAGTCCATGAGTCATAAAAGAGCCAAGGTTGCCTACCCTTGACCTATTTGAATCCCACACTTCTTCCTTCCTTCCTTCCTTCCTTCCTTCCTTCCTTCCTTCCTTCCTTCCTTCCTTCCTTCCTTCCTTCCTTCGGTAGGATTCAGCCAGTTTGCACCACTTCGGCAAAACCAGTAGCTAATTTTTTGTTGCCCAGGGCTGGAATGGACTTCCAGAAGTGGCATCCACACAGAGAACCAGTTGTTCACCTATTTGAATCCCACCACTACTATCATGGCTAGAGTTGTGTATCTGCCTTTCTCTTCCTCCGTTGTCCTGCAGGACACAAGATCACCCCCTACTTCCTCAAGGGTTGTGATGTAAGTGGAAAGCCGAATAATTCCATCTCACACCTTCTGGGCCATCGACTTGTGTTTCTGGCAGAGGAACATTGTAAAACCGATTTGTGCAACAGTGGTGTTCCCAAGGAAATACCCAGAGGTATGTATATATTTGAGCATATAGGAGCTTTATTAGATGGGGAAGAAATGGAGGTAGTGACAGATTTTATCTTCCTGGGCTCCAAGATCACCACAGATAGGGACTGCAGCCAAGAAATTAAAAGACGCTTGCTCCTGGGGAGGAAAGCTATGGCAAATCTAGACAGCATACTAAAAAGCAGAGACATCACCTGCCAACAAAGGTACGCATAGTCAAGGCCATGGTTTTCCCAGTTGCAATGTATGGCTGTGAAAGCTGGACCATAAGAAAGGCTGAGCGCCAAAGAATGGAGGCCTTTGAACTCTGGTGCTGGAGAAGACTCCTGCGAGTCCCCTGGACTGCAAGGTGATCAAACCGGTCAGTCCTAGAGGAGATCAACCCTGACTGCTCTTTAGAAGGCCAGATCCTGAAGTTGAAACTCAAGTACTTTGGCCACCTAATGAGAAGGAAGGACTCACTGGAGAAGAGCCTAATGCTGGGAAAGATGGAGGGCAATAGAAGAATGGGATGATAGAGAATGAGGGGGCTGGATGAAGTCACTGAAGCAGTAGGCGTGAGCTTAAATGAACTCCAGAAGATGGTAGAGGACAGGAAGACCTGGAGGAATGTTGTCCATGGGGTCACGATGGGTCGGACACGACTTCACAACTAACAACAACAACTGTCAAGAGTGATTCACCTCTTCATCTCGATTTTCTCTTTTGCTCATATCTTGACAATGGAGCTCAAAACTGGGAGAGATAAGGTCTAGGCCAAGGGTTGGCAACCATGGCTCTTTTATGACTTGTGGACTTCAACTCCCAGAATTCCTGAGCCAGCCACGACATAAAAGAGCCAAGGTTGCCTATGCAATGGAGAGCCCAAGGCCAGCTCTGAAAGGGATTTAGGACATGCTATGATGCCTAGAGACTCTGGCATAATAATATTGATTAATGTGTGCAAGAATATACAAAGAAAAAAAAGAGAAAAAAAACATCATACTTAACCTTTAACTCCCCTTAAATTAAGTCATATAAACAAATCTCTACAATAGTTACTATAAAATTTACTCATAAAATAAATGAAACTTTATAGTCCCATATTTTTTCTGAATATAATCTATCCATCTTCTCCATACCATAATATCTCTTTCTTGTATATGATCTTTCAAATAAGCAGAAATTTTTGCCATTTCTGCAAAATTAGAAACTTTAAATATCCATTCTTCTAAAGTAGGCAACGAGTCCTTCTTCTTCCAATACGAGCCTACTAATAACCTTGCTGCAGTTAATAAATTCAACATTGAAGTAGTTTCTTTGTCATTTAAATCCACAAAGATACCCAATAGGAATAATTGAGGGGTGAACTTTATCTTCCTTTTAAAAATCTTTTGAATGTTCCACCAAAGGTAAACGCTTGGGCATTTCCCCTACGCTGCGTTCATGTGTGTGAGAGGGATGAGAAGGGAGGAAGGAGTAGGGAGGAAGTAGGATGGTTAGAGGAGAAGGGGAGGGGAAGAGAGTAGGAGGGGAGGAGAGAAAGAGGAGGGAAGTAGGGGAGGATTAGAGAGGGTGGACGCAGCCTGGGGGGAATGGGCAGGCGGTACCAATGGTTAGGAATTTAATTGTATTTTGTATGAATAAATGGAAAATATTTTTTTTAATAATAATAAAAAAAAGAATATATAAAGACTCATTCACTGTTTCAATGGTTTGCCGTTTTTCTCCTGGACAGTGAGGGATATGATCCATGTCCAAAGCCACAGAGAAAGCATCCTGAGTTGCTATTCTTGTACAGCTGCTGATAACACTTGTAACAACTCCAGTCTCACACAGATGAATTGTTTCTGGCCCCAGGAAAAGTGTGTGGATATCACCTCCTTGACAGATCCAGAAGGTGAGTCCCTGGCTTCTTCTGAGGTGCAATTTCTTGGCTGCTTCTTCCTCTGATCTCCTTGTTTCATACAGGAAATAATTTTATTAATTTTACCCTTTTGCCTTTTCATTTTACATGTAACCTTCAGCTCCAGTCGGCTTAAATCCCAGAGATACTCTGAATAACTGGATAATTCAAACTTCTCGTGCTTGCATGTTAAACATGTCCACAGACTTACTGAAACCTCTAGGTCTAAAAGAGTGATCTGCGGGGAACCATTTTAAACAAATCCAATCTATATACATTTAATAAATAAACAAAATGCACAGGTAGTCCTTAAGTTACCTGTAATTTATTACGAGTCTAGCTTTGGCAACCCATTCATTGCAGCATATATTGCAGAAATTCTGAGTTCAACATAAGATGAATTAATTTAGATCCAGGAAATAAATACACACATACACACTTTTTAATTGATCAAAAAAGTCTTTTGTGCAATATCTCATTTATTTATTCATTCATTTTATATAGCTGCCCATCTCACTTCTACACCATTCTAGGTGGATTACAATAAAATATATCTTTTAAAATACTAAAAATGCGAATCCTGGGCATTATGTTAACAAATAAAAGAAAAAACGAACACCAGGATATAATAAACCAGCCTGTTTTTGGCTGGAAGAAAGCTTAGTGACTCTTCTTAACCTCTTATTAAACAGGCTGGTTTATCATATCCTGGTGTTCGTTTTTTCTTTTATTTGTTTATATATATATATATATATATATATATATATATATATATATATATACACATACACACACACACACACACACACACACACATATTTGTTTTCTGAGGTTTTCGCGGGTGTTTGTATGTAGGTCTTTGATTATTCGGTTATTCCAATTTGACGCAGGAGAAAACCCGAATAACCAAAGACCTACGGTACATATATATATATTCTGAGGTTTTTGCGGGTGTTTGTATGTAGGTCTTTGGTTATTTGGGTTTTCTCCCGCGTAAAATTGGAAGTGTCTTGGTGACGTTTCGACGAAGTCCCATTCGTCATATTCAGGCTGGTGTTTTTGGCTTCGTGCTTCTAGCTCCTGGAAGCACGAAGCTGAAAACACCAGCCTGAAGATGACGAATGGGACTTCGTCGAAACGTCGCCAAGACACTTCCAATTTTACCCGGGAGAAAACCCAAATAACCAAAGATAGATAGATAGATAGATAGATAGATAGATAGATAGATAGATAGATAGATAGATAGATATACACACATACATACATACGTACGTACATACATACATACATACATACATACATACATATATATATATACCTTGAGTGTCTTTTGATGCACCCTGTCGGCCCAAATATGGGAGAAAGAAATCTTTCTTTCTTTTTTCTTTTTCTTTTTGGCTGAAGAGAGCTAAGAAGCTCAAAATAGCTATTCCATCCTCCCTTATTCTTTGTTAGCAATCCAAAAAAATGTATATATACAAATGATGTCGCAGTTGGCGATTGCTGCCTGTGGATGGCTCTAGATTGAGCTGATATAGGCAAAAGAAAAAGAAAGACAGATTTCTGTCTCCCATATTTGGGCCGACAGACACTCAAGGTAAATCTCCTCCGCTTGTCTCTTCCCTCCCTGATACAGCTGACAAAGTGAGAAAGAGCTGTGGCCTGGAGGTTAACACAGCTACCTAACATGTAAGCAGCCCAGGTTCGAATCTCAGAAGGGTATGTTTGGCTGAAGAGAGCTAAGAAGCTCGAAATAGCTATTCCATCCTCCCTTATTCTTTGTTAACAGACTATGCAAAATACATTTAAGCAGGATTCACCACACCCAGAAGGCTACAAAACTGACCAAAATTAAAGCTAACCAGGCTTTGCGTGTTTGTAGAGCTGTTGCAATTAACCAAACTGAAAGGAAGGGGAAAATATAGCCCAAGCAAAATGTATTTAGGAATCTCTGTGAATTTGTATAACCTTTTTAAAATGTTCAAATTTCCAGCAGTTTAAAGGATAGCTTAATGGTGTAGCATTCACCTCCCACCCACCCACCCCACCAAATAAATATATTGTGTAATAATTAGCATTTTACTCCCCCATTCTCAGAATAGTGTGATGTCTACTAATGCGATGAAATAGCTAACAGCCAGCACTATTGTGCTGAATAATAAAGTCATTTTTTGCCCTCTGTATGTGGGGATTAAAATTAACATTTCACTCCCCCGTTCTCAAAACTGTGGTGTTCTTATTTGGGCTGATGGGCTCTAGTAAGAAGGTAAGTCAACCCTCCCAGCTTTGCTGTGCAGAATAATACAGTCAATATTTTTTGCCATAAAAGGCATGACAATTTTACATTTCAAATGTGATGGTTTAGAGCAGGGGTAGGCAATCTTGGCTCTTTTATGATTCGTGGACTTCAACTCCCAGAATTCCTGAGCCAGCATGGCTCAGCATGGAAACCTCTCCCTTTCCCCTCATTATGGCTGGCTCAGGAATTCTGGGAGTTGAAGTCCACCAGTCATAAAAGAGCCAAGATTGCCTATCCCTGGCCTAGGCCTGTATTTCTCAACCTTGGCCACTCGGAGATGGGTGGACTTCAACTCCCAGAATTCCTGAGCCAGCCTGGCTCAGCTTGGAAACCTCTTCCTTTCCCCTCAGCATGGCTGGCTCAGGAATTCTGGGAGTTGAAGTCCACGAGTCATAAAAGAGCCAAGGTGGCCTACCCCTGGTTTAGAGAGCAGTATGTCTCAACCTTCGTCGTTTTAAGATGTATGGACTTCAATTCCCAGAACACCTCAGCCAGCAATGCTGACTGGGGAATTCTGGGAGTTGTAGCCACACATCTTAAAATGGCAAAGGTGGAGAAACACTGGTCAAGAGCAAATTTGGCAATTTTAAGACCTGTGGACTTCAACTCCCAGAATTCCCCAGCCAGCCTGGGGAATCTCTAGAGCAGGGGTCCCCAACCCCCAGTCCGTGGACCGATAACGGGCCACGGCATGCCAGCAACCGGTCCACACAAATAAGCAAAGCCCCACAATAAGCAGCACACAAAACCACACACTTTCCGGTCTGTGGAAAAACCTTTCTCCAAGGAACCGGTCCCTGGTGCCCAAAAGGTTGGGGACCTCTGCTCTAGAAGATCCCTTTGAATTCTTATAAATGATTAAGGATCCCAAAGAGCTTTGGTTTATATGGGTTACATCGATTAATATGTACTGTATTACAAATTAAACCTGAGAATGATTATTTATTTATTGGGATCTCCAGGTCCCCTGAAAGGGTCTTGGGGATTCCCAGAGGATTCCACACTACAGTTTGAGAAACCCTGGCCTAGAGATCTATGGAGATTCTCAAACACCTAGGTCAGGGGTAGGCAACCTGGGCTCTTTTATGACTCGTGGACTTCAACTCCCAGAATTCCTGAGCCAGCCATGCTGAGGGGAAAGGGAGAGGTTTCCAAGCTGAGCCATGCTGGCTCAGGAATTCTGGGAGTTGAAGTCCACGAATCATGAAGGGACCAAAGTTTCCCTCATGCTGGCTCAGGAATTCCGGGAGTTGAAGTCCATGAGTCATAAAAGAGCCAAGGTTGCCTACCCCTGGGCTAGGTCATGGTTGACTCAAAGAGGCTTTTCAAAGCAAAAAAGTCCAGTTGCCTCTTGAAAAGCACCTTTGGGACCAGCAACCTAGAACTAAGGAGAAATTTCCTGACCGTGAGAAGAATTAAATCAGTGGAAGGACTTGCCTCCAGAAGTTGTGGGTGCTCCAACACTGGAGGTTTTGAAGAAGAGATTGGACACCTATTTGTCTGAAATGGAATAGGATCTCCTACTTGAGCAAGGGGTTGGACTAGACCAGTGGTAGGCAGCCTTGGCTCTTTTATGACTCTAGGACTTCAACTAGACACTAGAACAGTGGTTCTTAATTAACCTTTTTGAACGAATTGCCCCCTTGAGCCAATGAGGAACTTGTCATCGCCCCTCCCCCAACATAACCACTCAATCACAACATAGGAAATAATTCTTCAATTTATGCAAACACTTGTTTTGTTTTCATTAAAATTGTCATCTGGACATATTGATGCAAATAATTTATTTCCAGTCTTTTTCCCATATCTCAACTGTGTGAAAAATTTGGATGCCACCTGTCACTTTATTCCCAAACTTCGTGATACATGTATTTCATTATTATCTTATTTATTCAAGACACTTAAATGTAGTGACCACTGAAAACAAAATTCAATTGCAAGAAAGTGAAATGCCCGAAAAGAAAAAGAAGTAATATTTAATGACTGAATTACAAGTGAAATTTAAGACGCAAAAAGAAATATAAAAAGGGTAGAGGCTGCTGCACAATGCGCATGAAGATAAGCAATGTGTATTCACCTATGTACGGCGTTCTTTACTGAAGCTAGCTGGAGGAACATTTGAAAACACAATTCAATCCACTGATAGCGAGCGATCTGATGTTTTTGTACGACAGATATACAGCCATTCACTGTACGAAAAAGTCTCAAAAGTGTCCCCCAAACTTCTCGCTCCATCGCCCCCATATCGCCCCCTTTTTGTTCCTTCGCCCCCCTGAAAAATGAAATCGCCCCCTGGGGGGCGATATTGCCAAGATTAAGAACCACTGCACTAGAAGACATTCAAGGTCCCTTCCAATTTTGTTATTCTGTTGTTCTGTTAGGGCAGTGGTTCTCAACCTTTTTAATGCTGCGACCCCCAACTGGTCGTAAGTCAAGGACTACTCAACCGGTCGTAAGTCAAGGACTACTCAACTGGTGCAGCACCGTTTGCAGAATGGGACTTTTGGTGGGCTCCGCAGGGCAGAGACAGCCTGGACAATTCCTATTGGCTTTTGAAAGCCAATAGAATTAGACTCTATTCAAGAGAGTCTATTCTATTGGCTTTCAAAAGCCAATAGAATAAAAAGGAGTAGCACAGCTAAAGAAAAGGGGGAAAAAATGGCGGACTGCATTGTTTGGCGACCCCCGTGAAATCGTTCGACCCCAAATGGGGTCCCGACCCACAGGTTGAAAACCACTGTGTTAGGGAATCTCAACTCATGGAACAGGGCGCCTCCTGGAGGCCACAAACACATTTACACCATTATTTTTCCATCCCACTGGTAGAATTTCCCAAGGACCAGGAACGCATCAAGGGCTGTGGCCAGCTTTCCCACTGCCAGGATGCTCTGGGCTTCCAAAATCACAAGAGTTTCTACATGATCAACTGTTGTAACTCCAGCTGGTGTAACAAACACGTGCAAGGTAGGTCATCATCATGACAACGTCGTTTTAGAGTGGTAAAAGAGGTTTTAACTGGGAATGGTCTTTGCCAATCCTTCTGTTCCCCACCGATCAGTTAGAACTGAAGATGCTTCTTGGATGAGAAGTGAGATGTTTTCAAGGGGGAAAAAAAATCTGGAAAGTCCACTTGCCTTTTGGAATAACGACGTTTGGGACTTGGCATGTTGTGGCATACCCAACCAATTATGGTATATTCCATTGTCATGGACAGCAACACTTTGCTTAATACAGGAGGGGAATGAATTCACAGAGTTTGCCTCTATTTGCAGATTACAAGAAGGCACCCTTGCCCTTGAACGGGGTCACGTGCCACAGCTGCGAAGGAAACACTACTCACGGTTGTGCCCCAGATAACATCACAACGGTGCAATGCCGAGGCCCCATGACTCAGTGCCTAGAAGCCTCGGGAATCCACGGTGAGTCAGTTGTGAAAAATTCCTCTCGTTCCTTCTCTAAGTGTTAATCCGCAGAGAGAGAGCAAGGAGAAAGGTTTAGAAGTAAATTTACAGAAATCATGAGCCCCCTTCAGATGGACCAACTAAGAGTTTCAAGCTGGCTTCAGGGTGGGGTGGAGACTCCGTCTTTTTCGACGATCCAATTTCTTTTGGGTCATCCCTGTGGGTGGACGAAGACAATTTCTGAGCCTACCAATTTATCAGAATGGTGTTCGCCAGTGTTTCTTAACTTTGGCAAGCTGAAGATGTGTGGACTTCAATTCTCAGGATTCTGGTTGGCTGGGGGATTCTGGGAGTTGAAGTCCACACGTCTTCAGCATGCCAAGGTTAAGTCCATCTTCCCTTAAGCTCTCAGAGCAGAGAGAGATGGTTGCCCGTCATGTACAATTCTGACAGATTCCATATAACCACTGAATGAGCTGTATATAGTCATCTGAAGAGCAAAGATTCATGAATTCAGTTCAAGGGTTTAAAAGCCCTAGAACAGCACTTCTCAACCATGGCAACTTTTAAGATAGGTGGACTTCAACTCCCAGAATTCTCCAGCCAGCCCTGCTGGCTGCAGAATCCTGGGAGTTGGTCCACCCATCTTAAAGTTGGCTGGCTGGAGAATTCTGGGAGTTGAAGTCCACCTATCTTAAAGTTGGCTGGCTGGAGAATCTTGGGAAGTGAAGTCCACCATCTTAAAGTTGACTGGCTGGAGAATCCTGGGAGATGAAGTCCATCCATCTTAAAGTTGCCATGGTTGAGAAACACATCTGCCAAATCCCATACTGGATGAAACTGGTTATGTAGTCTCTGCCTCCTTGTGGTCAGCAGAACTGGGGGCATGACATAATGTTAACATCTATCTCTCCCCTTGAGCATTTAAGGCAGTGTTTCTCAACGTTGACAATTTTAAGGCATGTGGACTTCAACTCCCAGAATTCCACAGCCAGCAATGCTGGCTGTGGAATTCTGGAAGTTGAAGTCCACATGCCTTAAAATTGTCAACGTTGAGAAACACTGATTTAAGGGAAAATGAACTGTATGTGCCATTCAGATATCTTCTACTTCTTCCATTATATTGTACGATCGTATCCTTCCGTGGTATGGTCCAAGTGGGAAAGGAAGCCTCAGTTTCTCTTTTGCTTTCTCCCTCACTCAGGCATCTCTGGCAACAATTCAATCATCAAAGGTTGTGCTTCCCCATCCTGGTGCGACAGCCCCTACACCTCCATCTACAAGAATCTGGGCAGCGTAGAGACCCACTGCTGTGCTAATAATCTATGCAACAGTTGGATCATCGATGGACAGATGAAAGCATCTCCAAGGAGCCAAGCCAGCCACTTCACCTTGGCCCAACACACTCTTATTTCAACGGGTTTTCTGCTTTTTATGGTTTTTCTTCTTTCTTAAGAAAGCTCAGAGACTTAGAACTGTGGCCTTTTGCATTCTCCCCAATATTTAATGCAGCTGGGAATAACTAGGGGGGTTCCTGTTGAGCGCCCCTACTTAGACACACCGTATACCTCACACCATTAAAGAGACCACCATCCCTACCAAACCAGGGGTGAAGAGACCACAGTCTTGGGGACCAAAGAATACATGTTTCAAGCACTCACGAGCCTCTGCACCTTCTCCCCTCCCTTTTTCAAAATGGTCCTTAGCCCAGCTATCCATGCTGACTTGAGAATATTTATTTTTTCTTGACTAAACACAGGTAGTCCTCGATCTACGACCACAGTGGAGGTCAACCTTCCTGTGGCTAAGGGAGACCTTCGTTAAGTGAGTTTGGCCCCCATTTTACCCCTTTTGTTGACACCACGTTTGTTAAGTGAATCGCTTGCCGATCTTAAGTTAATAACAGGATGGGGAAGTCCCTCTGGCTTCCCCAGTGACTTTGCTTGCCAGAAGGTTGGAAAGCAGGGTCACACGACCCCGGGACACTGCAAGTGTCGTAAATATGAATCAGTCGCCAAGCGTCTGAATTTTGATCGTAGGATACCCCCCCCCAGGGATGCTACGACAGTCGTAAGTGTGAAAAATGGTCGTCATTTTTTTTCAGTGCCATTGTAAATTTGAATGGTCACTAAATGAACTATTATAAGTCGAGGACGACCTGTAAGATGACCAGCAGCCAGATCAGTATCGATAGCTTGGTGAGAATTAAGTTACGTGTTGTGAAAGAAGGCTAGTGGCTAGGTTCATGCTTTGTGATATCTTAATTTTCTGTTCAGCAGGAGCAATGAATGTAAGTTAAGGCTGCTGAATTATAGCAAAGGTGCTAGATACCCATTTTGTGGGGAAAATCCTTATTTTTCATTGCCCGCTGAACAGGACGCCATGAAATTCCACATTCCTCTTATTTATACCTTCTTGATGCTATGAAGGACTCTTGTAAGCTAAATCCGTGCAGATTTAGCCTTGTGGTCTTTTAAAAACTGGGTGGGGCACTAAAGAGTCAGCCCTGCCTCACCTACAAAGTTTGACTCATTGTTGACACCAGGAACTTACACAAGAAGCAGCTGTTTTCCTCTTTTAGAAGTTTATTAGCAGTATGGAATGGTTTCTTCCTGTTATTTTATTTTATATATCTATTTATGTTAATAAAATATTTTTCTAATGTTCAAAATGGATCCTTGTGGGCTGACTATATTTTAATCCAGTTAACACTACAGACAGTTGCGCTTTCTAGGTGGAGGATAGGAAAGACTTTTAGATGCCAAACTATCAATAAAGGAGAATATTTCTAGATTTAGGGTTGAAATGAGGGGTCCTTGCTGCTCTCTGAGCTTGGCGGTTTTGTTGCAGACATTTCATGACCCAACTAGGTAACATCATCAATGCCAGATGGAGGAGGGAGGGAGGAGGAGGAGGAAACCACTACGAGTGTGGGGTCCTTGTGCTCTGTGAGTTTGCTTGTTTTGCTGTAGACATTTCATGACCCAAACTAAGTGACATGGTTAGTGCCAGTCAGATGCTGAAGTTTTCTCCTTCCCATGAGAGTGAGTGAAGAAAACCCACTTGTTTTTTTCCAAGATAGTTTTTTTCCAACAGAATAGAGTAGAGTAGAGTAGAGTAGAGTAGAGGAATGAAGTAGAAGAATAGAATAGAATAGAATAGAATAGAATAGAATAGAATAGAATAGAATAGAATAGAATAGAATAGAATAGAATAGAATAGAATAGAATAGAATAGAATATATGGAATGGAATTGAGTGGAGTGGAATAGAATAGAATAGAATAGAATAGAATAGAATAGAATAGAATAGAATAGAATAGAATAGAATAATCACTTTTTCAGTGCCGTTGTCTAAATGAACTATTTTGTAAGTCAAAATACCTATACAGTACTTATTTGGGAAACTTGGGTGCAATGCTACCATTATGCCACTAGAGGACACACATTCCATGTGACTATTTGTTCCATGAATATATTTAGGTTGGTATCTGAACATAGATCATTTTAACATTTATATTTTATTGTGTTTTACTAATCTAGATGAAACATGAATGTATATTGCTAGTCCATGTATGATAAGCCATACGCTAAATAAATAAATTTAGCTTATCCTTTTATTGTATACATTCTAAAAATATATTGTTCTTTAGAATAGAATAGAATAGAATAGAATAGAATAGAGTAGAGTAGAGTAGAGTAGAGTAGAGTAGAGTAGAGTAGAGTAGAGTAGAATATCTTTACTGTCATTGTGTAACTCTCAACAAAATTAAGTGCTATCTACAGTGCACACTATACACAAGTAAAAACCACAAATAAGAACATACATTATATACACACATACTTCACATTCTATTCACCATTGCGCTGCCCCTAATATTACACTTTGATGTTGCACTATACAGTAGTATTTAATATGGTTACAGCTCTGGGATAAAAACTATTTACTGGGGATAGTACAGTATCTACTGTAATTCCATAATCAACTACGACAAAGCTAAAATTTTCTATGCATAGACAGACATCTGTAGAACTGTTTTTTTTTCCTTTCATTTTTTGTGATGTCTTTAATGCTTTAAGGAAATCTCAGGTCACTGTGGTATCATCTGGAACCAAATGTGCCTTCAAATAATCATTTTTCACAGAACCAATGGCAGAAATGCTTCCTATGTAAGAAGCAATAGAATAAGCAGCATTTAATTAATTGAATTTTAATTTTAGTCAAATTAAGGATTTCCATGGCTCTACCCTCTTTTAGTCAAATGTTAATTTATTTGTGTTTGATGTTCATCACATAGTCAACCAGATGTTCAGACTGGATATGCCATTTTTGTCCACCTGTTGACAAATTCAGTCCTTCCCACAACCTGGGATAGGCAGATGTAGATGTTTGATGGTGATACAGATATTTTTGCAGGATGTAAGCTGTTCCAAGTAAAGCTGCCTTTCGCAATTGACTGATGATGAATTTGTCAATTAGTAACCCAATAACTGTTGCAGTTTTAGATTTAATGAAGGGTTAGAGCTAATGAGAATCAAAATTACCACCATTATTCAAATGAACAGTGTGCCTATAGTGTAAAGACATTTTACAAACCAGGAACAAAAAGTGAAATGTGTCCCATTTTGGAAAGACACTTAAAATCAACTTTTTCAATGTTGTTATTCTTCTTTTCTGATTCACTGCTAAATAATGACAGTTCCTGGAACACTCTATAATTAGAGTTATCAGTTTAAAGCATAAAGCAAAGAGATTTCAACATTAGACAGAGAGGAGACTTGCTGGATGAGTTAGGGCTGGCTTAGGGCTGTGGTGTCCTTGGTGCTCTCTGAGCTTGGTTTTTTCCTTGCAGATGTTTCACTATGCACTTAGACACAATTATCAATGCAAGTGTGGTTGGCTGCACATAGACACTTAGAAATAAACCTATCTACACCCTGTTCGAAAGAGACAATAAAAAAGCTAAGAAAGAAAGAAACAAACAAAAAAAACCAAGAACAAAATGACTACATTCTCTCCAGCAGTCAACACCTAAAATAAATTACAGGGATTAACCCTATTCAAACAATGCCCTAATCAAAGAACTAACTACCAAGGAGAAAAACTCCGCCAACATTGGCAGGGCAAGCTACTGTATATAAACAAGAAGCAAACCCCACACTCATTAACACTGATGATGTTAACTAGTCGGGTAATGAAAGGTCTGCAAGCAAACAATGATTAGGGAGCACCAAGGATTCCACAGTTCTCTGAACCAGGGCTTTTCAACCTTTTCACCCATTGTACCACTTTTAGGATATGGCAACATCCGAGTACCACCAGTTGCCTAGCAAGGTGTCAAAAACGTGATGACCCCCCCCCCAAAAAAAGGAAAAAAGTGATAAAGTACAGGTAGTCCTCAACTTACAACAGTTTGCTTAGTGACTCTTCGAAGTTACAATGGCATTGAAAAAAGTGCCCCCCAAGCCACAGCCAAGCAAGACACCTGCCTGCCTGCCTGGCAACACTCTTCTTCCTGTCCGTGGTTTTCATTGTTGTGAGCATTTCTGTTGAGGATTGGCAGCGGGGGTGGGTGGGGGGTGTTTGGTTTTTATTCCCCCTGTCTGCCGGGTGGTTGCAGCAGGTTTTGGTCACTTCACATGACCCTGGGACACTGTGACCATCATAGATATGAATCAATTGCCAAGCATCTGAATGTAAATCACAAGACCCTGGAGATGCTACACCATTCCAGCTGATCAGAGCTTCTTCTGGGCTCAGCAGAAGCACCAGGATCAGCGCCGAGCTCCAGCTGGAGCCTGGCGCTGATCCTGGCACTTCCACTGAGCCCTGCCAGCCCCGAAGAAGCGCTGATCCTGGCGCTTCCGCTGAGCCCTGCCAGCCCTGCAGCTCCAGCCATCTCTCGCTCAGGCTTGTGCGGTGCTGCCACCGGTTCAGCTCATTCCCCTCCCCCACTACCACTTTTCTAGGATGGTCGCGTACCACCTGCCAGGTGCCAATGTACCACAGGTGGTACCCGTACCACTGGCTGAAAAGCCCTGCTCTAACCTACCACACAAGGTCAGTTTTACAATGAGAGTGAAATGCTTGAAGAGTTAAAGGCTATTGTGGCATGCATGCCTTCCAGAGATTATCAGAAAAAAGGTTCCATATAAATATGACAGCTATGCTAAACAGTTTTAGAAAATCATGTTCTTCACATTGCTAAACTTGCAAATTTTTCCCGGTGTTATGTTAAACCTTTAAAGTCTTTTTTCCTTCCCCAAAGCTCTTTTCAGCCCTCATCTCTTATTTTCTGGTTTCAAGTGTAGTTCAGCACAGAACGAACAGATTCTCAGTCCTTACCAAGTACAGCGAAATACATTTCCCACACCAGGGTTAGTTCATTGTTAATGTTTAATAATATTAAAGAGTGTTGAATGGCCCCGGTAGCATTAACACCTCTGGGACTTGTTAAAAACCCATTGATCCATAAAGGGAAAAAAAAAACCACTTAATAAGCGTACTAGGATTTGGAAAATTAGAAAGTTAGCAATCTGTTTTTGACGTGCATAGATAGAAACTCAAGTTTCCAGAGGCAAAAAAGGAACTAAAGACGGGTCTGCCCTGGGCCATAGGATTATTTTCACTTTGCGTTCCCCACTTGTCTGTAGAACTTGGTGCTCTGAAAGTGAAAGAATGAATTAGAGGCGGTTTGTACAACATCCGTTCTAAACAAAATTCCAAAAGGGTGGTTTTCCTTATCTGACTTCACGGTTTCAGTAACCCATTGCAGTTCCTGTTGGCTGCTGTTTGACCAAGGGCATCCTTGTGTACATTCCTGAAAATTAAGCCATCCGAGAATTGAAGAGGGTCTCAGCATCGCTTGTCTGGGATGGAGGGGGGGGGGTCATGTGAGTGAAGGCATTGCCTGTGACACACAAATGCACACACACCACCTTTGCTATGCCCTTTACAGGAAGCCAAACTCCCCCCTCCCGGCGTTTTATACAGAACGCAGAATAACAAATTTGGAAAGGACTGTGGAGGTCTTC